CTATAGATATAGGTATTTTTTTCTCTTTGAGCTGGAGTTTCCCTACATCACGCAGGCTGGGCTCAAGTGATCCTCTTGCCTCAGCCTTTCAAGTATTTGGGGTGACAGGTACATGGCGATGCCTATCTTAAGCCTTAATAGTCTTAATTATTTTTAAAATTGATTTGAAATTCACAGCACATCATAAAATTGATCACTTTAAAGTGGATAATCCAGTGGTTTATATAGTCAGAGTTGTACAGCCGGCCCTTCTATCGAGTTCTGGAACATTCCACCACCCTAACAGGAGACCCCATCCTGAAGAGCAGTCACCCCGTCCTCCCCCCAGCCCTCAGCACCCACAAATCCACTCCCTGTCCTGGAGTCGCCTGTCCCGGGGGTTTCTTGTCTGTGGAGCCCACGCTGTGTCCTCTGTCTCTGGCATCTCTCACTGAACACGGAGTCCTCAGGGTCCGTCCACACTGTGGCGAGTGTCACAGCCCCATTGTTTTGCTGGCTGCACGTGTTCCAGCGTGGGCTCGAGCCCATGTAGCTGACTGCTCATCTGCTTATGTCAGATCTGTGTGTTGTTTTCGTCTCTGGCTGTGAGCTCACACTGGCCAGGGCCCACGAGCTCTTTTCTCCAGGGCCCAGCTCAGCCATGGCACAGATGCCCTCTGACTGGAGTCCTTTCTGTCTGGTACATCACCCTTGACTACTGGAGACTGTGCGTGTGCCCCACCCCCAGGCGCTCAGCTGCCAGGTGTCACAGAACCACGGATCCCACCGTCAGTGACGTTCAGGGTCCACCTGGGAGCATCACAGCGTCACGATCAGTGACATCCGAAATCCCAGCTCAGAATAAACAAGGACAAAGCACCCATTCCTCCTGTGTGACCCTGGGGCCCCCTGGGACCCTTCTTTTCCTCGGTCCTCTTGTGTAAGGCCAGTGTGGCCTGTGAAACCATGGGGTGCTGCAGAGCGCTCACCAGGGCCAGTGGCCATGAGGACAGCTCTCGGGGAGACCCCGACCCCACCCAGCCCGCCCTGTGTCACCTCGACACAGACTGCAGGGCTCGTGGGCTGTGTGTACACATGCCCGCCCCGGACCCATCTAGGCCAGCGTGCGCACGAGCGGGCCTGTGTCACCCGCTTTCCTCCGTTGGTGCAGTGACCTCAGGAGGAGGCATGTGGGGAGCAGCGAGCCGGCTCTGGTGAAGGTCTGCCCACAGCGTGTCTGACCATCTGTCCTTCCATTTCAGAGGGTGCTGGTCCAGGCCGCGGGCCCTGCGCCCAAGGGGGCCCCGATGCAGCCACTGTCTCTCCCCAGAGCTCCACAGGTGCCACAGCAGGTAAGGCCGCGCCTGTGCCCAGGGCATGGTTGGCACTTGGCATCCAAAACAATCTGATGGGCGCATCCGCTTCCCTTCCCGTCTTCCTTCCTTTCCTTCCCAGTACTGGGGATGGAACCCGGGGCCTTTGCACTGAGCTATATCCGCAGCCCTTTTCAATTTATCTTTTAAATCTTGAGACAGGATGTCACTCAATTGCCCAAGCTGGGCTCTAACTTGTGATCCTCCTGCCTCAGCCTCTCAGAGTGCTGGGACAACAGGTGTGCACCACTGCAGCCGGTTTTGCTTTTCTTTTTGCTTGTACCTTCATTTATCCAGAAAGTTCTTTCACTGCAGGTAATTCTCGAGTGAGCCAAAAACGGTGATGATCTTTTATTCATTCGTAAATTCAGCCACGTGTGGGGAGTGAGCCAGCACCCAGTCCCTGTGGAGGAAGGAACACAGGCCCCTGGGGGTGGCAGATGTACCCACAGACAGGTGCTGCCCCTCAGATGGAGAACCGACAGAGGAGATGGCTCTTCTGGACGGTTTATCTCGGAACAAAGCTTGTAGGTGTGGGCTGACAGCCATGTAGCTGCCAGATCGTCAGCTCGGGGCAGCCGAAACACCATGTCATTGGGCTTCATGGTCAGAGGGTCTCAAGTGAAGCCATTGGACTCTGTCCTTATAGCGCAGAAGCAGCCATCATCCAGATGTAGGCCCAGCTGTGTCCCAATAAAACTTTATTGACAAGAACATGAGGGGCCAGATTTGGTCCTCAGGGCAGAGTCTACAGACTCTTCCAGGTCCCTGTGTAGACTAGTGATAGGCTTCCAGGTGTCTGTCATCTGAACCTGGGAAGCTCTGCAGGGCCCCAGGAAATAAGACACTCTGAGACCTAGGGACCCAGATCAGGGGCCCTGCTGTAGGGCGTGTCTCTGTCAAGGCCCTCGCCAGGGACACAAGAGCCAGTGTGTGGTCAGGTATACAGACATATGTCTGTCATCCTAGCACTCTGGGAGGTCCTGGGAGGCTGAGGCAGGAGGATCACAAGTGTGAGCCCAGCCTGAGTGACTTAGCAAAGACTCTGTCTTGAAATAAAAAAATAAGAAAAACGCTGCAGGTATAGCTCAGTGAGAAGTCCCTGGGTTCAACCTCAGTTTAAAAAAAAAAAATTCACCAGTGGGTGATTCCAGCTCTTTCTGGGCGACTCGAGCTTCCCTGGTGACCTGCATCTGCCTGGTCCCCAGACTGCCACTCCCTCCCCTGGGGGCACTGCCCAGAGTTCATTCAGGGACTGTGCACTGGGCAGGTGTAGGCGGTGGTGCCTGGGTGCCCAGACAGAGGCTCGGGGAGGGTCCTTGCAGCCTCTCTCCACAGTCAGCTGGCCTGGGCCTCTGTGAGGGTCCCCACCACGGGAAGAGTTAAGTCCCACTGCTGGGCCCAGGGCTGAACTGGGTCCTGGCCACGACCCTTCCCCTGGGGCCAGGATCTGTGTGGCACCTGAGGCCGGGCCTCTGTCCACAGCTCTGGCTTCATTGCGGAGCTGGCAGCCTTGTCCTCCCCATGTGCCCCACAGGTATGGATCAGGGTGCTTGTGTCGTGTCCCTTGGTGGGAGGCGGAAGTGAGCTAGGGTCCCAAAAAATGCAGCCAGACTCTGTGAGTCCCAGTGGCTGTGTCACCTGCCAGGGCCGCTGGCATCTCATCCTGCCCTGACGCCTCTCCCAGCATCTAAGAGCCGATCAAGGAGGGGACAGGGGCGCGTGGTCCCCAGAGTCCTGTGAGGGGAGAGAAGCCACCTGGGGCTCCAGACAATGAGCCGGAAGTGCGCCTGTGACGCAAGGCATCTGCATGGTTTGCTTGCAGGTCCCACCCGTGCAGCACGTGTACCCCGCTCAGGTGCAGTACGTGGAAGGGGGTGACACCGTCTACGCGAATGGAGCCATGTACGTGTCCCCCGGGCCACCCCTCCCTCAGGAAGGACGCCTTTGCCCGTCTCTCCCATACCCACTCTGACACCCATCAGAATATCACCTCCCTGCAGAGTTCAGAGACCACAGCCTTGTATTTCACTGTCTAGAAAAATCTCTTTAAAAAAGTAAAAAATTTTTAAAAAGCTGGGGGTCCAGCGCTCTGGGAGGCTGAGGCAGGAGGATCACACATTCAAGCCCAGCCTGGGCAACTAAGCGACTTAGCATGACTCTGTCTCAAAAAATGAAAAGGGCCAGGGATGAAACTTAGTGTGAAGACCCTGAGTTCAATCTCTAGTACAGAAAAAAACAAAGAATCCAACTTGTAAACCCAAACATCCATGATATGGAAGCCATTGCCCTTAATGCCCTTTTGTCCTTGCCTGTATTAGACTCTGCTTTTCTAGGCTGTTGACGAAACTTGCTTTTCCATCTTGCAAAGACTTCTAGAAGTTTCTGCCCCACCAGGGATGCTCGGGACCAAAGCCTGTCTATGCCCCCACGTGGCACGCTGGGCCTGCGTCACTCTCCCTTGTCCCTTGGTTTTGCCAAGGCCTTCCTCAGTGTGGGGACTGCACATAAGCTTTGTGACAGAGGGAAATGTACCATTTCCCAAAGCCCGACACTAACCGTCCCCAAACACACACAGGCACGAGTGCACGCGAGGCCTGTGGGTTGTCCCAAGGTCACTTTCTGGCTTGACATTGTACTCAGTTCCTTAGGGTGTCACCGCGCGCCTCCCTCTGGACACGCCATGGCCTGTACTCACCGAGAAGGGAAGCCACCACGGCCACCACGGCCACCACGGCCACGACCCCCCTTTGTCAGGAGGCGTTTAAACACTTCCCCCTCAACACAGGCGGTGACGCCGTCATGCAGACGGTAGAGGAATGCCAGGCGTATGTGTGCTATGCCTTGGGGATTCTTTTATGATGTGGTGTCATTTCTTCTCTTTAACAGTTTGTAGGATTTTTTTTTTCCTTTCTTTTTTGCAGGGCTGGGATGGAGCTAAGCACTTGCCATTGAGCCACCTCCCCAGCCCTGGTTTATGTTTTGAAAAACTCATAACCTCAGTTAGTACACCGAGCCCTCAGGCCCTCCAGCTTCCGGTGATGGCACGCAGTGTGACGCCAGGACATCAAAGACAGGAAAATGACACTGGACAGTTTCACCAGTCCTAATGCACATTCATGCACATGCATGTGTATGTGAACCTGTGTGTGCGCGTTCAGTTCTGTGCACTTTACCCCATGTATAGATTTGTGTGACAATGACCACAAGGCCCAGAACTTGCCCGTGTCCTCCAAGGAGCCTCCTCCATGAGGCCCACTCACCACTTTGATTTGCTTGTTGTTTTGTTTTGTTAGTATTTTGAGATAGGATCTCGCTATTTAGTCCAGGCTGGCCTTGAACTCACCACGCTGCCCAGGCTGGCCTCGAACTTGTAGCGATCCTCCTGCCTCAGCCTCCTGAGTGCTGGGATGACAGGCGCACACCACCAGGCCCAGCCCACTTAGAATTTTTAAATGATCAGTTTCCATTACTCGGCCTGTGATTGTGAGTCTGCTCAGAAGCGCTGGCTTTGAACTTCGGCTTGGATTTGAGCTTCCTGTCCTCTGAATGAGCAGCCCCACGTCCGGGGCCTTGGGGACCTGTCGCTTTCACACGAGGTTGGGCGGATCCTTTACTCAGCCAGGGCATTCAGAGGGGCCGGGTTCCAGAGTGACCTCTGTCTCTCTACCAGACGAGCGGCCTACACCTACAACCCCGAGCCTCAGATGTACGCCCCCAGCAGCGCAGCCTCTTACTTCGAGGCCCCGGGCGGCGCTCCGGTGACAGTGGCAGCCTCGTCCCCGCCATCAGTCCCCACTCACGGCATGGTGGGCATCACCATGGACGTCGCGGGGAACCCCATCGTGTCCAGCGCGGGCGCCTACCTCATCCACGGGATGGACAGCGCGAGACACTCCCTGGCCCACACTGCTCGGTCCTCGCCAGCCACGGTATGTATAGGACCGGCGGCGGCGGGGTGCACTGTGCTGGACGTGCCTTGGCCGGGCCGCAGCAGCAGGGGCGGTGAGCAGGAGGTGCCCACAGCCCACATGGGGCTGTCATGGGCTTGTGCCCAGGGCGATGTCCCGCAGGCAGACTTGTGGGGCCCTGTGAACCTCAGGGTGCCCTGGGGGACAGAGGAAGGTCTGAGGGGCCTCGTGGAAACTGAACCCAGGGGCTTTCCGCGATGGTAGATGCTGCCGCTGCAGTGTCTCTGCCATGGCCGCCGGGTCCGCGTCGTCGCCCTCCACCCGGGCTCTGCACAAAGGTCGCGTCCCTTCAGAAGCCCTCAGATTCTTAGCTCTGCGCCCCCTTGCGAGATCGTTACTGACTTGCTTCAAACCCAACTCTACTTTTAAAACTTGACTTTCCGTGTTTGCTTTTACTTGTTGTGTTTTTAAAAATTAACATGGAGCGGGATTGACTTTGTGGGCGTGAGGCACTGTGAGATCGGACACGTGTGCAGACCTGCGTCACTGTCCCCAGTTGGGGCGCACAGGCCGACGCCCTGCAAGCGTCCGCGTGGTATCTGTGCAGCCGGGGCCCCCACCCCGCCGCGGCCCCTGCCACTGCTGATCCGTCCTCTGTCACTGTGGGCTGATCTTTCACGGGGCCTTGGAGCTTCCGTCGGGCTGTACTTTACTCTGCGAATTGTTTGTCTGTGTCGGTTACTGAGTGCCTTGCCGTGACACCGAAACTGAAGTAGCCGTTTCCCAGCCTAGGGCCTCTTGGAAGGGTTCTGGCTTGGGACCAGGATGAAGAAAGCAGGCTTGAGTTCTCGGGGACAGACTTTTGTATGGACATACGTGTTTTCCTCTTGTTAGATAAATAGCCACATGCAAAATTGCTGGCCCACAAGGTACGTGTATGTGTGACTTCACCAGCAACTACTATTTCCCAATTGGTTGTACCATTTCCTCCCTGCCTTCCTTTTCGTTGTCGTTGAGACAGGGTCTCGCTGTGTAGTTCAGGCTGGCCTTGAACTCACTATGTCGCCCATCCTGGCCTCGAACTAGTAGTGGCGATCCTCCTGCCTCAGCCTCCAGAGTGCTGGGATGACAGGAGTGCACCACCACGCCCAGCCTTGGTCGGACCACCGCCCATCCCCACTAGCACCTGGTAGTGTCGGTATTTTTTATTTTGTCCAATAGGTGTGTGGCGTCATTTGCATTGTCCTCACAGTGTGTGAAGTCAGCGGCCACTCACATGCTTCTTTTGCTTTTTGTTGCTGTGCTCTAGTGAAGTTGGCTCAGGTTATTTGCTTTTTTTTTTTTTTTTAACTAAGTTGATTGTCTTCTTGTTGTTCTTTATATATCCTGTACACAGTTCCTGTCAGATATATTCTCCTGTGCTTAGTGTGTCCTTGTATTCTTTAAAGTATCTTTTGTAGAGAACATATTTGTCATTTTTAAAAAGTATGCTCCAAATTTATCAGTTTTCCTTTTGTGTTTTAGAACCTGTGTGTAGTACTAACGATCACCTTCCTCATGGGGAGATGGTACATGGACGTAACATGTCTTTTTTTTTTTTTTTTTTTTTTGGTACTGGGGATTGAACATGGGACCTTAAGCTTTCAAAGCAGGCAGCGGAACCCCTGAGCTAAATCCCTGGCCCTTAACACATCTTCACCCTTTTTGTATCCCCTTCCCTCCTGGCCCGAACTTTTGATACCATGTCTAAGAAGTCTCTGCCTGTCTGCTGGTCGTGAGAATTTTCTCCTCTGGTCTTTGAAAACTTCTGTAGTTTTACATTTTACTTCTAGGTCTGCTTTTGTGTATTGTATAGAGTGATGTTTTTAGCATACGGAGTGACCAGTTGTCCATGTGTGTGTGGCTGTGTTTCAGAGTGTCCTTCTTGTTGTGTTCCATTGATCTGTATGCCAGTTCTTTTGCCAAACGCACCCTGTCTTATTTACTACAGCTTTATAGTACGTCTTCAAATCAAATCAGATGAATCCTCCAATTTCTTCTCCTTCAGAATTACGTTGGCCAGGCTGAGGATTTAGTTCAGTGGTTCGGCCGCCTGCCTCGCAAGCGCAAGGACCCAAATTCGATCCCTGGCACCAAAAAAAAAAGAATTATGTTGGCCATTTGTATAAATTTCAAGTTTCTTTATGGGTTTTAGGTCATTTTATCTACATCTATGGAAAAAAAAATCACCCTGGGTTTTTTATTCAGTTGCACTCAATCTGTAGATGGGTTTGGGGAGAACCCACATCTTTACCACGGCCGCATTTCTCAATCCATGAACATGGTATGTTGTCTCCATTTATTTGCATCATCTTTGATTTCACTGATCATGTTTAACATATTCTGTACCTGTCACGTTAGATTTATAGCTAAGTGTCTCATGTTTTGGAACTACTATAAATGGCTTTGATTTTTTTTTTATTTCAGTTTCCAAATGCTCATTACTAGGATATGAAAATACAGTTGGTTTTTATCTGGGTTTGGTGATGCACACCTGTAACCCAGTACCCTGGGAGGCTGAGGCAAGAGGATCAAAGTGTGAGCCAAGCCTGGGAAACCAGGTGACTTAAGATCTGATCTCAAAATAAAAAAATTTTATGTATGTCTAAAAACACACTTGTGGCTTTTTCCTGCCCCAATGAGCAAATCTTGCAGTGCCAGTGGCAAGACAGAGTGTCCACAGCCCAGTCCCCAGGTAACATGCGGGGTCTTTTTCAAAAATCTTGAAACCCCTTGCTGGGGATTTTTAGCTCAGTGGTTCCGCTGCCTGCCTTGCAAACGTAGGGACCCGAGTTCAATCCCCGGTACCAGGAAAAAACAAAAACCAAAAACTTTCAATTATAAGAAATCTGACTAAATAAAAGATTTAAAAATCAGAAACTTAAAAAAAAAAAAAAAATCCCTAGACCCCATTCCTGATACTAAGTCACCACATTTGGGCTGGAGCTGAGGCTCAGTGGTTGCGCTTGCATATAGAGGTATTGGGTTTCCTTCCAGGACCAAAAAAAGAAAAATCACCATTTAGGGGGGCCTGGGCTGTCGGATCCAAGCTCTGCTGGGTGTACCCTGAGAATGCCACCAGAAGTCATAGAAATGACCCTTAATTGTGTCGGCAGTGTCTCGGCTCCAGGCTTTTTTGTTTTGATTTGGTTTTTGTTTTGGGGAGTTCATTTTGTTTTGTTTTGTTGAGACAGGGTCTCACCATGTAGCCCAGGCTGGCCTCAAATTCTCAATGACCCTCCTGCCTGCCCTGCCCCAGTGCTGGGTTTGCAGGCGTGCGCCACCATGACCAGCTTCGGAAGGAAGCTTCTGGGCGTCCCTCGCAGTGTGTCCACAAGACCTAAACTATTTTCATAAATAGCCATAAGCCATTTGTTGCCTTTGGCTGTGTTGGTGTCTGCGATTGAGCAGAATCCAAGTGGGTGAAACAGGAACAAATCAAGGCAGCTGGACCAGACTCTGAGAAGCCCCTGTAGCTGGGCGTGGGGCACATGCCTATAATCTTAGCACTCAGGAGGCAGAGGCAGGAGGATCGCTATGAGTTTGAGACCAGCCTGGACTACACAGAGAGTTCCAGGTCAGTCTCAACTACATAGTGAGACCCTGTCTCAATAAATAAATGAATAAATAAATAAAAATGGACTGGTGTAGTTCAGTGCAAAGACCCTGGTTTCAATCCCCAGTACTGCCAAAAGAAAAAAGAAAGAAAGAAAATAATAGATGTCTTTGATAACACAGTAAAAATGACATTTTTATTAAATGTTAATCCTTGAGTGCACATCTCTTCAGTATCCCATGAGGTGGGATGGAAAGGCCTCAGAAGCCCTGGTGCCCTCCCGGTACAGTGACATCTTCAGGGGAAGCCCCAGCACGGTTGTTTGAGTTGTAGACAGAACCCACCATTGTTTCACAAGAAGCCTTTTGTTTTTGCTTGCACGGGTGACAGCTATGATGTTTCCGCCTGTAGTGGTATTTGACAGAGACTTTCTCAAATTCGAATGGAGTAAGCTTGACACATAATGGGAAACGACTGGCAAGTTTGATCACAGTTAAGTTTTCAAATAAAAGAATGAGAATTTGGAAGCACTTGTGCGTGTCGCGGGAACTGGACGGTGTCCAGAGCGGATGGATGGCTTGGTATTCTCCGAACTGAGTGTCGACCTTGAGGCTGTTGAACAAGCTGTGTCAATGGCTGGCAGATCTGCTGAGTCAGGACACTGATGTTTTCCGGGTGACGTTATAAAATCGTGTCCATCGGGGGAGTTTCAGTCCCACTAAAAGAGAGACTGGTACCTCTTTAGTTATATGGACATACTTTTATTGAGGTAAAATTCATATAACAAAATTCACCCTTTTAACAATTGCTGGTGAGAGATGAGCTGTTACTCTGATGGGAGATCCTTTGTTTATGACACATTGCTTTCTGGAAACTGCCTTTAAGCAGTTTAATGGTAATGTGCTTTGTTGAGATTTTTTTTGAATATCTGGGTTCATGTCTTTCATCCAGTTTGGAAAGTTTTTAGCCATTATACCTTCAAACATACTTTCAATTCTAGAATTCTGATTTGCTTCCATTTCATTGGGTTTTTTTCTTCATTTGTTTATTTGTTTGCAACAAGGTCTTGCAGTGATCCTCCTGCCTCAGCCTCCTGAGTGCTGGAATCACAAGCATGTGCCACCACATCGGGCTTGGTTTCTTTTTTAAATTTCTTTTTGTTAATATTCTCTATTTGGTGAGACAGGATGATCATAGTTTCTTTTAGTTCTTTGCACATAATTCCTTTAGCTCTCTGAGTCTATTTAAATAGTTGATTTGAACTCTTTGTGTCATAAATCTGTGTCTGGTCTTCCTCGGGAACAGCTTTATTTATTTCTTTTTGTATGTGTGTGGATTGTATTTCCTTATTTGTTTGCAGACCTCATAATTTGTAGAAAACTAGCTATCTTTGACTTTAAGATATAGCAACTCTGGATGTCAAATTCCCCCACCCTCCCGAGGATTTATTTTTGCCACTTAGAGTTGTCGATCATTTGTTTAATGACCTTCCAGGAAAAATCTCCATTCTTTGTCCTGGGTGGCTCCTGAATCCTTAGTGGTCAGCAAGTGATTTGAAAAGTTCCTTGAATGCCACATTTCAGGTGTTGGTTTTTTTTTTTTTTAATCATTATCATCATTATGATTATTATTATTAAGGGTCCACCTGGTTGCTGTAAGCTTCTCATTACTTCCCAGAGTTCCGGAATGGGCATTCTGGAGGGTTTTGCCCCTTTCCACACTGCTTCTGGGAGGGCCACCCCTGCCCTGTTATCACCACTGCCTCAGGACTTTGATGTAACCGATCACAGTGCTCCTTGCTAGGGTTCCCAGATCCTACAAGCCGCTGATTTGATGTAAGAAGCAACCAGCCATTGGGTGATGTAGTGTCCGGTAAAAATATCCACAGTCACCTGAAACATACAGCCAGACATGCTACTTTAGTTGTTGTGTTTTTGGATTTTGAGACAGTGTCTCACTTTGTAGTTCAGGCTGGCCTGGGACTCACCATGATCCTCCTGCCTCAGCTTCCCATGTGCTGGGATGACAGGCATGCGCCACCACGCCCAGCTTAGTCTACTTTCACCTCTAATAGGTTTATCAGTGCTTTAAATAAATTAATGTACACATTTAAAAATTTTCCCACTATAATTTCTAATATGGCAAGTATTCAACTCACCCACAAAAAGTTCATTTGGAGGGAGGGCCTCAAAAATGCTTAACAGTGTAAACAAGGAGTCTGCAGGGCCACAGTGCGCAGGTCCATGGCCTGGAGGGCTGTATTTTCTCCCACTTCCTGGAAACACCCAGCAGCCCCCAGGGGGTGGCCCTCACCCAGGGGAAGACCTGCGTGTCTGGGCGCCCGGAGTGGGAGGGCGTCCAGCCTGGAAGGTGGCGGAGCTGCTAGTCGGGATGCCTCTGTGGGGACCCTTCCTCGGGACCCTAACTGGGCGCTGGGGAACCCGTGTTCTCGAGGCGTACCCCGTCTGCTTTCCGCACTGCGGAGCTGAAGTCTGGCCTTGTCTGGGCGTCTCAGGAAAGGAAGGGTGTGCTTGAGGGCCTTCCCATGTCCAAGTCAGGGGACACTTATGCGTGCAGATCCGGCGACAGCTGTACCGAGCTGGCTCCTCCTGTGCAGTCCTCCCAGGGAGCCCGGCCGCATAGAGCCCCCAGCTCATGTCCACCCCTATGCAGCCGGAGAGCGGTGCCCCGTGTCCTGCGCCTTGAACTCCTTCGTGTCTTCCCACAGCGTTCAGCAGGGGGATTTAGGCCCTGCGACATGGCAGGCTGGCCAGGACATCAGTGCCCGACCTTGGCTTGGATCCCTTGATCCCCAGGCCGAAGAGGATGGCAGGAGGACGCGCTCGGCTACCCTGCGGCAAGGGAGCGCGTGGTCCGCGCATGCGCGCATCCTGCACCGTGCAGCTTCTCGCCTTGCTGCTCCTGCTGCTGCCACTGCGCCCCGCGCCCGCCGCTCCACCCCGGCCCCGCCTGTGTGCGCCTCCTCCTTTTATGAGCATTCGAATCATTATTTGGATATTAATAAAAACCACATCCTGGCTGTTGCTAACCATCTCATTTCCTTTTCTTTTCTTTTTTTTTCTCCTTCCACTTTGTTTTCTTTTGTTCTGCACACATTTTCTTTAGCTTCAAATGGCGATTGAAAACCTCCAAAAAAGCGAAGGAATCACCCCCCACAAAAGCGGTTTGCTCAACAGCCATGTAAGTGCATGTCTGACCCGTGCTGCCCCTGCCCTGCCTGTAGCTGTCATGCACATTTTAAAAGCAAACGCAGGTGGGCCCAGTGGCGCACTCCAGTCACCCCAGCACCCTGGGAGGCAGGAGGATCACAAGTTCAAGCACAGTCTGGGCAACTCAGTAAGACCCTGTCTCACAGTAAGAAGGGCTTGTCCAGGACACCAGGTTATTTAATGCGCCTTAAACATTTCCACCAGGCTTGGTAGTGCACACCTTAATCCCAGCATTGCGGGAGGCTGAGGCAGGAGGATCAAAAGTTTCAGCTCAGCCTGGGCAATTTAGGACCAAATGAGACCCTATCTCAAAATAAAATAAAAGGGCCAAGGACATAGCTCAGTAGGAAGGACCTAGTACCACAACAAACAAAGACTTACTACTGAACAGATAAGAACCAGCACAGTCTAAGATCAATAAAATAAGCAACCAAAAAAGAAAAAGTGACATAAGATCAGAAATGTCATAGAGATCCTCAGCTGATGTTCTTAGGATCAGCTCTTTGAAAGAAATGATAATCTGAGAGAAGTACAGAGCACCTCATTCCTGCTGATTTTAGCAATGCAAGATTTCCCTCCTTCGCTGGACTCGAAGGACATGGCAGCCTCAGGTCCCGTTTGGGAGGTGGTGAGTGTCTGCGCTCAACTGGGCCTGGAGGAGGGACCTGCTCAGTGCTGGGTTCTGGGGACAGATGGGAAGGAAAGCTTGGTCCCCTCCCTTACGTCCCTTGTCACTTCTTTGAGCGCCCCCTCCGGCTGTTCGTGGAACAGGCACTGTGTCGGGCACCTTGAAATTGGAACCAGCGTTGAAGCCAGAATATGCTTCTGACGTTGCACTGGAGACTGACTTCCTGTCTGTCTAACCCTGTCCTAACCAAGACCCTGAGACTTTCCTGCCCATGGCTGGAAAAGCCACAGTGCTTCAGCAGAAGGTGATCTCAGGAAGAGACTGGAAACCTGGACCTTATGGGCCGGGTGCAGGAGCGATCGGTTGCTTCAGGCTCCGACATAAATGCGCCTTCCACCTAGGAGCGCAGAGCTAAAATCAAAATCAAAATCAAACGAGGCCCTGCTTGTGGTCGCCTGCTGCTAGTGGCAGGGATGTGGCCGTGTGGTGTCCTCCCTGCTGGGCAATGTCCCTGTTGTGGACCAAGTCTTGAGCAACCTGGGGTCCTAGGCTTGGGTGACCCAAGGTTGAGTCTGCAAGTGACATCCGCGCCTCCCTAGGCCCCGGGCAGGCTGCTGCGGGACAGCAAAGGCGAGGAGGGCGAGATGGAGATGGGAGGCAGTTGGGGTGCAGGGCCCGCAGACAGATCTGGCTGCTGGGATCCTCTGGCTCTAGCAAATTCCATGGGGAAGATGCCCCAGGCTGCTTCCCCTGCGTGCTGTGTTCCGATGAGACTTTTCTAGCAGATGAAATCTCCTCTGGCTGCCTTCTCCACGGGCACCCGTGGTCGAGCTGTTTTTTTCCATCACAAGCCATGATTAAGGCTTTGGGGCTTGGTGACTTAGAAGCAAGGGCAAGGTGACAAGATCTGTCGACAAAGTCCGCCACACGCGCTGGTGTAAAATCGCCCTGGACCTGGTCTTGGCCACCGTGAGACCCAGAGAAGGACGAGAAGTGAAAGGCAGCCGTGTGTCCCAGCGAGACAGTTGTTTCTGGGGCTGCCTAGGGCCGAGACGGCTCTGCTGGAGGGCAGTGCCCTTCCGGAAGTCCTGGTGGGGGCACAGCCACAAACCACCCTTCTAGGATTTGGCAAATACAAGTGCCCCACCAGCAAGGGGTTGAATTAGCATCTCAGCCCGTGCCGTCCATTACCTCCCTTGGTCAAGGGCAGCACTGCCCTTCAAGGGCACAGCCCCGTCCTGTACATACCTTTAGGAAGGGCCCAGGGTCCAACTGCTTCCCGCCTCCTCCACTGCGACCACACCCCAGACACCAGTAGGGTTATCTCAGCCACTTCCCAGTTGGCCCTAAGCCAGCTTCCCATCCCTTCTCACAACCCTCCAGTGATAGTCCTGGCCCCTAAGGCAGGTCATGGCTGTTCTCTGCCCTCAGCCTTCCATGGCTCCCAGGTCCTCCCTGTAACCCTGTGGGCCCTCCACAGTCTCCTGTCCCTTCACAGCCTCCCTGCCTCCCTCTTTGCTCCTTGCTCCCTCTGCTCCAGCCATACAGCCTCTTCATGGCTTCTGCACCTTGCTGGGTTCTGAGCTACCCCAGGGCCTTTGCACAGGCTGTGTCCACTGCCTAGAGTGCTGCTGTCCATGGCTTTTCTTTGCATCCTTGCTCATTGCACACTCTCAGTGAGCCTTTGTGCCTAGATTTAAAACTGCGGTGCTCCCTCCAGCCCCTGCTGTCCTGGGGCTTGCAGCTCCTTCCCCAGCATGCATTTTCTCATCTTGGAGGGCACAGAGCTGTGTAGACTCCCTAGTGGGTAGAGATCTCACACTTTGGGCCCTGAAGGATGCGTAGGCTGTGGGGACAAAGGGACCCGCCAGGGTCGGCGCACCAGGGCTGAGGCTGTCTGCTGCACATCAGTCGGACTTCTCTAGGTGGCGGCACAGAATCGAGCCACAACTTCCGGGCTTGTGGAGACTGATCGTCCCGAGGACGACTCTTGGCCTGGTCACTTTGCAGTCAGGTCCTTAGCTCAGTCCCCCTGCACTTTGTGTCACACAGCGCAGGGCTGTGCTTTCATGCTTGGCACTAGAGACTGGCTCCGTCCTGTGGGCCCAGGAGACCTGTCGGGGCACGCGATCATGCATCGGTCAGGAGGACAGAGCCCTGGAGGTCTCCGTCCGCACAGGTTTTTATCAGACCGTGGAGGGATCCGAGAGCCAGGCTGGGCGCAGAAAGTACCGGTGCACGTGTGGAGAGACCTCGGAGCGCACAGGCCGCGTGGTGCCCAGGCGGCTTCCCCAGGGCGGTCGTCCGTCCTCCACCCTGGGCTCTGACCTCCCGCGCTCTCCCCGCCCAGCTCCAGTGGCTGCTGGACAACTACGAGACGGCCGAGGGCGTGAGCCTCCCCAGGAGCTCCCTGTACAACCACTACCTGCGCCACTGCCAGGAGCACAAGCTGGACCCCGTGAACGCCGCCTCCTTCGGGAAGCTCATCCGCTCCGTGTTCATGGGGCTGCGCACGCGGCGCCTGGGCACCAGGTGGGTAGCGCTGCCCTGTCCGCCTCCCACCCCTCTCCGCCGTGTGTGCCCGTGCGCCTGGGTAGGAATCACCACTTCTGCACACCTCCGCTCTACACCGCTCCTCCCCAGTCTGCAGCACCAGGAGGCACTGTGTGCCCCGTGCACCCCCGCCATCCCGCCCATGAACCTCTTCTTTGACAAGAGCCCCTTGGCTGAGTCTGGGCCAGTGGCCAGAGCAGCTTCGGGCTCTTCCTGCAGTGGCCATGACAGAAAGGTGTCGCCCGTCGTCACCATGGCCTTGAGGCCAAGGGAGCAGAACGCTTTGGTCCCTGACGCCTGCCTGTCCTTTACAGAGGACGTCCTCACGGGTCTAGAGGGAGGAGGGGCAGGCCCGGGCGTGGTGTGCGGACCTAAAAGCCCACGCTCCGGGAGGCTGAGGTGAGAAGATCACGAGTTCAAGCCCAGCCCGAGCAACTTAGTGACTTAGCAAAACCCGTCTCAAAACAAAATATATAAAAAGGGCTGGGGATGTGGCTCAGTGCAAAGGGTCCAGGGTTCAAACGGCAATACCTACCACCAAAAAAAAAAGGGAGGGGCAGGCCATGGGCCGAAAGGACAGGGAACCTGGGTGTTGGGGTCACAGCCCTGCTGCCTTCAGGCCTGTACCTCTGGGGAGTCCCAGCGCCAGCTTTGGACATCAGGCGTATTTCTCTGTTTCCCCTCCTGTTTTCCTGTGCTCTCCTTCATTCTTACTGAGAACAGGCATTTCTTTTCTAGAGAGAGAGGCCCAGGTGCCTCCTGCTTGTCCTTATTACCAGCCCTGGAGAAATGGCTTGTGCAACTTGGGCAGTCTGTCCGCTAGCAGTTCCCTCCTGGGGAGCCCCTTGGGCCATTTCCTTGATTAGATGACTCAAAACCCTCCCGTCACCCTTCTTTCTGCCACAAACTGTTTCTCACACTCTGCCATTCAGCAAAACATGTTAATATAGCCCAGAAGGCATGGAAGAGTTTTTAATAATAATCCCAGCACAGTCCACCTGGTTTTCCCGACACAGGGTTGTCAGAGCCTCTTTACACTAGAACAAAAGAGGGGGACTCCAGCCCGGGGCGATGGTGCACACCTGTCATCCCAGGGCTCTGGGAGGCTGAGGCAGGAGGAACCCAAGTTGCAGCCCAGTCTCGGGCAGCTTACACGTAGTGAGTCACTGTCTCAAGATGAAAGGGCTGGGGAGGTGACTCATTGCGAAGGCCCTGGTTCCTTCCCCCAGCCTGCAAAGTAAACAAAGGAGGGGCCTCTCTGTGAGGGGCTGTTGTGGGCAGCATTTCCCCAAGAACATTTCTCACATCATTCAGGAGAGACCAAGCCAGACTGGCCAAACAGAAGGGCTGAGAGCAGGCAAGAGGGCCCCTGGCTCACTCCTCCGTGTGGCCTGTGTCTGCAGGGGCAACTCGAAGTACCACTACTACGGCATCCGTCTGAAGCCGGACTCCCCGCTGAACAGGCTGCAGGAGGACACTCAGTACATGGCCATGCGGCAGCAGCCCCTGCACCAGAAGCCCAGGTGGGTGACGGGTCTACGGAGATTCCTGGTCTGGGGACAGACTCACACGCCCGCCCCCCGCCCCGCACATCTGGGACATGCCAGCCTGCACACAGCCTCAGCCACTGGCCAAGTACTCAGATTGGTCATTTAAAAAAGAAAAGGCCGGGCATGGTGACCCATCCTGTCATCCCAGCACCAGGGAGGCTGCAGCAGGAGGATCACTGTGAGTTCGAGACCAGCCTGAACTCCATGGTGAGACCTGATCTCAAAAACACCAAAATAATGATGATGTTGGTCATCATCATCACATTAAAGTTTTAGTGCTAGGGGAGCAGCTTAGCTTAGTGCTGGGGGTGTAGTGGTAAGTGCTTATCTAGCCTGTGGGAGACCTGGGTTCCATCCTCAGCACTAAAAACAAAATTAGAATTTTCTTATATTTTATAGCAATTTTAGATTCACAGCAAAAGCTAATGGGCTGCCCAGGTCTCCCATGTACCCCGTCCACACGCACACAGTTGTGACAGCTGGTGTGCCGCAGTGACACATCGCTGTTCCCAGAGCCCACAGTCCACGCCAGGGCTTGCTGTGGCTGCTTTGTTCTGTGGGACTGGACGGGTGCAGCAGGATGCAGCTCCACTGTGCCGGGGTCAGAGCTGCCCTGGCTGTGCCCTGTGCTTCCCCATCCTCTGGTAGCCCCGAGCTTTCATTGTCTCCTTTTTCCAGAAGGCCATGGAGTTGGAATCACACTGCTTTTATTTATAAAGTTTAGGGGGGAGTGGGGAGAGGGAGCCCCACAAATAAGGTATCAGCACCTCGGAGAAAGTAGCCCTGCTGAAGTCGAAGTCCCTTCCTGACATCTTCATCCAGTGGCCTCAAAGGGGTGGTTGCTTTCTGGAATATTCTCTGCTAGACGACTTGTGTAAAGAGCTAAAGAGCAGAGCCCTCAACTCTGTTGCCATTTCTCTCTGGGGTTGTGTCACAAAAGCAGCTGCAGGTGACAGCTGAACCTAGTGGACCTGGCCATGTGCCAATAAAACTTTATTTACAAAAACACCTGGCAGCACTGGCCCCAGGTGCCTGGTTAAGGGTCCCCCGAATGTCTCCTTGGGCACCTTTCCAGTGCCCTCCCATGGGCCAAGGAGCACAGCCTGTCCCTCACCCAGTGTGAGCACCTGAGGGCAGGGACCGTGTCACACTCTTCTCCGGGTGGCTCAGACCGGGCACTTGGGGAAATCTGGACACGCTGCTGCAGAGGACAGAGGGGACCTCCAGGGCCCAGGAGGTGAGGAGGAGCCTGTGCCCTCCTGCCTGTGTTGTCCACACAGAGGTGTGTCACTTGTCCCTCTGTTTTGGCCCTCGGCAAACACCTGTGACTTCACTCTATTTCGGGAGCAGTGCACACCTGTCACAGGCTTGTGCCACTGCGTCTGGGGAGCCACAGCCTGGCTCCCCCCACCCCTGGCACCTCTCCTTCCTTCTGCATGTGGGGACAGGTGCACCCCTGCCCTTCCTTCTGCGCAATCTGGGTGGCCTCGCTCTGTGGCCTGGACAGGCTACCCTAGCCCTCCTGTTTGGGGCAAGACAAAGTCAGAATTTCCTTGGGACATACAGCAGGGAGATGTCGTGATTCCACACGGAGAGCTTCCTGGCCTTCTGGGAGAGACATGAGGGAAACATATTCTTAGGTACACAGCCCAGATGGGCACCCACAAATTATACATCGGGGTCCATCCACATACTGGAATGTTACTCAGTCATGAAAAAGGAAGACAATCCTGATCCTGCTAGGCTGGGCTTGAGGCTGTGCTACTCAGTGAACTTAGGCAGACACAGGAGGGCACACGCCACAGGATCCTGCTCCCAGGAAGTCCCTATCGGATCCACAGATACAGGAAGGAGGATGATGACACCAGGGTTAGGGAGGGGACAGGAGTCACTGTTTCATGGGGACAGAGGCTGAGTTTGGGGATAAATGAGAAAGTTCTGGAGGTGGGCAGTGGAGACGGCTACACGGCCCTGGGGATGTGTTTAGTTTTAATGAGCTGAACACTTAAGAATGGTTACAACAGTACATTTTTTCTTATATATAAAAAATGGGCCTTATGGTGGCACGTGTGTCCCCTGCCCAGGTACCGGCCAGCCCAGAAGACGGACAGCCTTGGGGACAGCAGCTCCCACAGCAGCCTGCACAGCACACCGGAGCAGGCTACGGCCACACAGAGCCAGCACCACCAGCAGTACATAGGTGAGGAGTGGCCATGTGCCAGGATGGTGCCCTCGCGTGACAGCTCTGGATGGATCTTCTGTTTGTGATCCCTGAGATTTGGCGCAATCAGCATGTGCCCAAAAATGTGACATAGAAAGTGACCATGGCCGGGCATGGTGGTACAGGCCTGTCACCCAACCCTCTGGGAAGCTGAGGCAGGAAGGCCACAAGTCTGAGGCCAGCCTGGGTGACTTAGCAAAACCCTGTCTCAATAAAAGTTTGAGGGTGGAGCTCAGTGCAGAGAGCCTAGGTTCAACAAAAAGAAAAATGAGTATTTAAACCATCAGAAAGAATAGAAGATACCTTCTTTTAAACTCTATCCTTGGGCCGGGATTTAGCTCATTGGTGCCGCCTGCCTCACAAGTGCAAGGTCTTGAGTTTGATCCCCAGTACTAAAATAAAAAAAACACATTAAAAACCCTATGCTTAGGGTACAGCAGGATGTGGCTCTATCCTGGGGTTTCTCCCTCACTCACCTGGAGCGCTTGGGGTCCTCCAGGTGGCAGCAGCCTCGCACTCTTTGCTGGGGACCTTGCCGACATGGGGGTCTAACCTTGGAGCCTACCACCTGGGACAACCCAGGAAAGGCCATTATTCAGGGGAAACTTGGCAGCTTCCACAGTACCAGAAATAGAACCCAGGGCCTTCACACCAAGCCACGTGCCCAGCCCCCTTTTTTTTTAATTTTCTATTTTGAGACAGGGTCTCTTGAAGTCACCCAGGCTGGGTTGGAACTTGCAGTCCTCCTGCCTCAGCCTCAGCCTCCCAGGGTGCTGGGATTTCAGGGCTGCGCCACTAAACCCAGCTTGTCCTGTGTTTTTTTAAATCTGACAGAGCCTTTGGGTTGTGGGAGTTGGGCGTTCGAGGCAGATCGAGATGGTGCCCAGAGTTCCATGGCATTGCCACCCCATGAAGTGGTGATGTGACCTGAGGTTCTGAGCCCCCGCTGTGTCCCCAGGCCAGTGCTCAAATTATGTCACATCCCCGGGGGGAGACAAAATTGTCCTTGTTTTGACCCTGGGAAAAACTGAAAATTACACAGAAGCCACCCAAGTGCACGCAGAGCCAGGAAGTCAGCCCGGAGGGCCCCAGACTTCCGTGGCTGTGCATGGCCTAAGGCTCCTAAGATCCCCTGTCTGACAGCCCATGTCTCTCCCAGATGTGTCCCACGTGTTCCCAGAGTTCCCGGTGCCCGAGCTGGGCAGTGCGCTGCTGCAGGAGAGCGTCACACTGCGCGACGTCAAGGCCCTGCAGCTGGCGTACCGACGGCACTGCGAGGTGACCACTGCAGCCCCGGGTGGCACAGAGGTGACAGGAGCCCCATACCCACCCCAGGCGTCCTCTCTCTGGACGGCATCTGCTCCATCTGCTGGGCCTCCCATCTCTCCTGTCACCCCCTGCCACATCCCGCGTCCTGGCTCCTTGCCCAGGACACATGAGTGACGGACACACTGGAACCCACGTAGCATCTGTGGACCCTGTCGCTTTCCCTCTAGGCCACCTTGGATGTCGTCACAAACCTCCAGTTCCACTACATTGAGAGGCTGTGGCTGTCCTTCTGGAACGCCAAAGCTACCTGCAGTGACAGCCCCACCTCCCTCCCCGCCAGGTGACAGCCATCATCCCCTCCCCCACGGCCCCATCTGCCGCACAGGCTCCCACACCTAACCCCGGGGACCCCAGACACCTGTGTCAGCTCCCCGGGCCACAGCAGGAAGGGACGGCCCGGGACCCGGGCGTCTGGACGGCGGACGGGCCCGCCTCACGGCAGCCGTGCCCTGCAGTGACGAGGAGCCCACAGGACAGGCTGTGCTGCCCCAGGACAAGCTCATTGCACTGTGCAAGTGCGCGCCCATCCTCAAGTGGATGCGGAGCTGCGACCACATCCTGTACCAGGCGCTGGTGGAGATCCTCATCCCGGATGTGCTGCGCCCGGTCCCCAGTGAGTGACGCCCTGAACCTGGAGGCGGAGTCCCCCGCCAGGTGACCACGGTGACAGGCGGCATGTGTAGCCCTGTGAGCTCAGCCCAGAACAGGCCAGGAGCAGCCACTGCTGAGGGTCAGCCACTGCCGCTCTTGTCCTAAGGTTGCACTAGCACCTGCTGTCCCCAGGGTCCCTGCAAGCACTGGGGGCACATTTCCTGTGTGACAGCAGTAACCACGCCTGTGACCCCTCTAGGAGGGGGGACGCCCTTTAACCTCTGCCGAGTCACCACCTTTCCCTGTGTAGAGACTTACACTGAGGGCTCCTGGGGGGCTCTCTCAGGCACCAAGGCAACTGGCCCGGGCAGGGCTGCAACCGAGCCGGGCCGTGCTTCTGGCTTCCTAGCGAGAACAGGGAGCCCCACGGAGGCCTTATATAGAAATCGAGGCTCAGATCTTTAGTCAGTTCAGCAGCTTGAAGTCTTTATCAGTGATCGGCTGCAGCCAGACACGGTAGCCAACACCTGTTCTTTCAGCACGCTGGGAGGCTGAGGCAGGAGGATCACTAGTTCAAACCCAGCCTGGGCGACTTAGCAGCCTGGTGAGATTCTGTCTCAAAACCAATGGAGCTAGGGATGCAACTCAGTGCAAAGGCCCTGGGTTCCATCCTCGGTTCCAAATGAACAAATACGATCTACTTTTTCCCGGAAACGAAAAACCACAGATCCATTGTCTCTTTGGCCTCAGCTGCCTGGAAACTGGTCAGCATCGCTACAAGCATTCAGAGTCCTGTACAGAGGTCTGAGTTTACAGCCTATTTCCTTCTATTTTTCTGGGTTTTAAAAAAATTTTTATTATGCTGCTTTTTATAATCCACCTCAAAATAGATGTGAAAGCTGAGAAAACATAGTTAACTGCATGTGAGTGCACCAGGGCCCCCTGGGCGCCGTGTCCACCGGAACTCCCCGGGTGACGGCCACAGGGCTCCAGCAGCGTCCCCAGGGGTGGGGCCACCCTGGTGAGACCAGAGGCCATGTATGCCAAGTCCCCCTCAGGCTGCTCCCTGTCCCCAGGCACCCTGACGCAGGCCATCCGGAACTTCGCCAAGAGTTTGGAAGGCTGGCTGACGAACGCCATGGCTGACTTCCCGCAGCAGGTCATCCAGACCAAGGTGACAGATGGGCAGCACAGCCCGCACCCCGGGGGCGGAGCGTGGCGGGAGGACGCGGTGCCCGTGTCATGGGGTGACAGCTGGCCGCGGGGAAGTGCGGAAGGTGGCACCTGATGGCATCCGTTGGGGCCGATTCAGGACGGATTGTTCCCGAAGCCGTCACGGGAGGGGAGCTTAATCTCCTTGCCTCCGCCCTATTATTTAGCCACAAATCAGAATTTAAAATGTGGAGAGTTGGGGCTGGGGATGTAGCTCAGCGGCGCCTGCCTGGCAAGCTCGAGGTCGAGTCCAATCCCCAGTACCAAAAAAAAAAAAAAACCTAGAGAATTGGCCTGCTGTGAAAGCAAGTCACTGCCATTCTTTGCAGCGTATCTTAAATGTCTTTTGTATGGCCAGGTGCTGTGGTGCACACCTGTCATCCCAGCTACTCAGGAGGCTGAGGCAGGAGGGTCTTGAGTTCTAGCCCAGCCTGGGCAATGAAGCAAAACTATCTCAAAATGAAAAAGGTCTGGGGTGTATCACAGTGGCGGGGACTTGGTCAGCGTGCAGGAGGCCTTGCATTCCTTCCTTAGCACTGCACAAAAACAAAACAAAATAAAACGGGCCGTCGGGCGCCGCTGAGGGCCAGGCTCCAGCGTGTGCTTTACCCATGCATACTTGGGAACTGATCTGTTAGGCCGCAGAGCTCAGTGTGCAAGAGTCGCCTAGCTAGTGTGGGTCACTGGATTCCCAGGACACACCCAGGAATCAGTATTTTCAGCAGCCAGAGGCCCTGTAGGAACCCAGGAGGACAATGCCACCCGGTCGGGACTCTGGTGCGACGGGATGCACTGGCGGGGCCGGTGTCTTCAGCCGTCGTCACCGAGGACCCTTACCGGGTCTTCCCTGCGCACTCCCTGGGTCAGAGCGCTCTCGCCCCGCCCCGCCCTCTGACCACGCCCCGCCCCGCCTTCAGGTGGGCGTGGTCAGCTCCTTTGCGCAGACGCTGAGGCGCTACACGTCGCTCAACCACCTGGCGCAGGCCGCGCGCGCTGTGCTGCAGAATGCGTCCCAGATCAGCCAGATGCTCAGCGACCTCAACCGCGTGGACTTCGCTAACGTGCAGGTGACGCCTCTCACTTTGGAAAGTTGGCACAGAGCAGGCCCCGAGCAGAGGTCCGAAGCCGCCCTGTGATCTCGCGGGCCCCTTTTGTGCCGGGGTGCTAGCTTCCGGGATGCCCGCACTACATCTACCGATCCAGGTCACAAGCCCTGGGGCTGCGTTTTTCCCTCATTTGCCTCTCGAGTTGAGCCATTTAAAAAATGAATACAACCTGAGGGTGGCGGTGCACACCTGTCATCCCAGCACTCTGGGAGGCTGAGGCAGGAGGATCGAAAGTTTGAGCTGAGCCTGGGCATCCTAGTGACTTAAGTGATATCCTGTTTCAGAATAAAATAAAGAAGGATGGGGGGTGTAGCAGAGTGCTGAGCACTTGCCTAGGATGTACAAGGCCCTGCCTGGGTCCCATCTTCAGCATGGCAGATAATAAAATGAGTAAACACGTACAGGGAGAAGAGGGATCACTTTAAAACAAAACAAAGTCACACAGTAACAGGGGCTTTGATCCAGAAAGCCTGTGTCCCAGGAGACAGATCACGCTGCCTTTCTGGGGGCTGTGCTGGCTGTGCTCGGTTTACAGTTGTCAAAGGCCGAGATCTGGAGAGGCCAGGGTGGGGTGGAGCTCAGGGCTACAGTGTGTTCTTAGCCTGAGTGAAGCCCCAGGTGCCAACGCAGCACTAAAAAAACAAAAACATCTGGGCGTTTCCATGCACACCTGTAATCCCAGCCACTGAGGAGGCTGAGGCAGGAGGATCGCAGGTCCTGGGCAACTTAATGAGACCTTGTCTCATAAAATAAAAACTAAACAGGGCTGGGATGCTGCTCAGTGGTGGGCACTCGCCCAGCATGTGTGAGGCCCCGAGTTCCATCCCCAGAACCAAAAATTAATTTTTAAAAAAAGCAGGAATAGCCAGGCATGGTGATGCACACCTGTCATCCCAGCACTCGGGAGGCTGAGTCAGGAGGATCGCTGTGAGTTTGAGACCAGCCTGGGTACACGGTTGAGTTCCAGGTCAGTCTCAACTATGTAGTGAGACCCCCGTCTCAAAAAACACAACAAAAAACCAAAAAAAAAAAAAAAAAAAAAAAAAAACAGGA